GGTCAGCCCCGCGCTCACGGGGCAAACCACCGATGCACGGAGAACCGCTCCGTAGCAGACAACCGCCTGGTTTCCACTTTCGGTGTAGCAATTAACAGACTCCAGGAGACACTCAACTCTGTGATGAAGCAGGCTTTCTGCTGGGTGCCTTTGCCCAGCACAGGCTGGTGTGAGTGCTCCGGGCACGGCGACGGTCGCTAGGCTGAGCTATGGGGTTTGGTAGACTAGGTGTATTGAACGTAGTTTTGACTTACAAAGGGTTTCTCAGGATGTACCCCCACCGTAGGTCGAGGAAGATCTGTATTAACGATAGCTAACACTTAGCTGCCTGCTGTGTGCCCGGCACTGTTTGAGGGACCTGGGACACATCAGTGAATAAAACAGAGTCCTGCCCTCTGGGAGCTACAGTTCTATGGGGAGACAGGGAAATAACAGACATCATGAATAAGTGCATAATACAACGTGTGTCAGACAGAGATGAAGCTGGGGGATAGAAAGGAAGGAGGCTGTGGGTCCAGAGTGCCGGGATGGCACGGGGGCACAACAGCCCTGCACGAGTGTCTGGGAAGTGAGTCAGCCACGTGGACGTCGGGGCAGAGCGGGGCAGCAGAGGGAGCAGCTAGAGCAAGGGAGTGGGGATGGGGTGGGATGGGGGCGCAGTGTGGCAAGGCGGGGACTGAGGGGAGGAGCGAATCAGGCATTTCTCATTTTTCATCTCCATACTCCAGGAGATAGGACCTGTGCCATCCTCATGTCCCCTACCAGGGTGCCGAGGCACAGGGAAGATGAGCATTTTGCTGAGGTCACACAGCCAGGAAGTGGTGCAACCTGGGTGAGTCTGACCACAGGACAGCGTTATACTTTGCTGCTGCCCTCCCCCACCCGGACCCCTTCCCGTCCCCAACCTGGCTGACATGCAATGACCCCTGGAGCCCATGCAGGGCTGTGTCTCGAGAGACAGCTCAGGTGGTAAGGGTGCACTTCTCAGAACCCTCTTTTGACTCCGTGCCCTGGCTGGAGAGCCTAGCTGCTCAGTGAGAGGTCGGAGGTCTCTGTGGACTGCCTTCACCAGGGTTTGACCTGACCCCAAGCAGGAACTCGCGGGGAGGCAGGGCTCACCACCCGTGCTCTCTGCTGCCCCCACAGTTCCTCTCCCGGACCAGCAGCAGCCCTGTCAGAGCCCCCCGTGGCCCCTCCGGCCTCACCTTGTAGAGGTAAATCTTGCCCTCGGGACTCTTGAGATCCAGCTCCAGGTCAAATATCGCGATGCCCTCCTTGTTAACTGTGATGTGTCTCAGGTTGAGGATGGCATTGATGTACTGGGGAAGACAGACCCACCAGGCGAGCCCTCTGAGCGCCCTCTTCCAATCCTCAGCCCCCAGCCCCCAGCAGCCCTGCTGAGCAGCATGTGCCTGGTTTACACGCGGGAGGCTGGTCCGGCGTCAAAGCAGGTGGGAGAGCCCGGACGAGGGAAGCCAGGCCCCTGGGTGGGAGGTTGGATGAACCACCTTCAAGCTGATAACATGGCTATTTCAGGATAATGAAAACAAGCTGTTTTGTGTTTCCAGGGGAAAAGAAAATTAGACTTTTACTATGGTTAGATTAGACACAGGGAAGACCTCCCTACACAGTGTGTCAGAGGCTGGAGCTCCCTTCTCTGGAAGCCTTTAGAAATGACAGGTACCCAAGGTCGGGTGATGGTGATGGACAACGCCGATGATGGTGGCAGCGGCCAGGAAGCCTTTCTTAGGCTAAGCGCGCTAAGTACATCCTCTCATTCAACCTCTCGATTACCCTACCCAGCGGGTACCTGCAACATCCACCTCACAAGTAAGGAAACCATGGCCTGGAGGCCCTAACTTTTCCAAAGCCTCAGATTTTAGGAAGTATCGGAGCCAGGACGTGGGTCCTTAGCGGACACGACGCTGGGCTCCAGCCGTGAGCCCCTCCCCCCAGGTGCAGGTGCGGCGCGGGTGGGGCGGGTACCGGTGCCAGCTTCTCCTCCCGCTCCTTGTGCATCTGCTGCAGCCGGCGCAGCATGCCGCGGAAGTCCACGATGCCGTACTTGAGGCAGATCTTCTCGTAGTCCTTCCGGTCCGCCGTCATCAGCAGCTGCCACACCTGCTCCATGTCCACCTTCTCGTGGATGGGAGACGGGGCCCTGGGGAGCAGGGTCGGCAGGTCAGAGGAAGCGGGGCCCTAGGAGCTTCTCACCCGGGCCTGGTGCCCCCCAGGGGTCGTGGGGAGCTGCCCCTCTGCGTTGGAAGAAAGGGGCACAAAGACTGACCACTGCAGGGTCTGGAAGGACCCAGAGATGGGCGGGGTGGGCCTAACCACAAAGCCCCTGCTTTCCCAGGAGAGACTCCTGGATCTCAGGGCAAGGTGTCTTTGGGGGGAAGTTGTTCTGTTGCTCTAAAAATTTTTTTAAATTGCTGTTCTAGTGAAGTACTCCATTTTACAGATGAATAAGTCAGGACCTAGGGAGGGGAAATGATTAAGTTGAGGATACAGAGCTTATAAGTGGAGAGCTGGATCCCGAGCTCCAGCCCAGTTCCTCCCATCCACCACCAGAAGTCAGCTCCCCAGCACGTGTTGGGGGTGGAGGAGAGGGGAGCCCAGCGTACAGCAGGGGAGCCTCCCAACTCCCCACAGACAGGCCCAGACCCACCTCTTTTTCAGCATCTTCCGGAAATCCATCAGCTCCTTCTTGAGGTCTAGAAAAGGAAGAGGAGTGAGGCCCCCGTCCCAGGGTGGGATTCCTCGGGGCTAACTCAGGGTGGGTTGAGGAGGGGCTGGAGGGAGGGCCCGAAGTCCGTGGCTGACGGCCGAGCTTTTGAAAGGGGAGCTCCTGTGGGCTGGTGGTGGCCCGTAAAGCACCTGTGAGGGCTTGGCCAGGTGGGGAGCACCCGGCAGGGAGCAGCCCATCCCCCCAACGACCACACAGAGATTTCTGACAGCCTCTACCTACCCTCTTGGGGCTCCTTTTGCCTCTTCCGATTCTTCCGAAAGCCAACTGGAGCATCAGGAGGAAAGGAGGGTGTGAATGTGGACAGCCAGGAAAAGAGGCAGAACACTTCGATGGTCTCTGAGAGCCCGCTGAGTCCGGGCGCTGACCGCCCCACGCCCCTCTAAGGCCGGCGCGGCCCAGCAAGAGGGAGCGCAGGGCCAAGGGTCTGTCCACCATAAGCTCTGGTCCCCCAGAGTGTGCCCACAGAGGGGCTGACTTGATCACCATCTCATGTTGGGGTGGCACACTCCCATGTCTACAGGGCTGGGGGATGCATGAATGGAGGGAGTGACCGCTGATGACCACAAGCTGACTGGCATCTGAAGGGGCAGCTGCCCTTCCCCCCACCTGAGAGCTCCCACTTCAGGGCATAGGCCCGCCATCACCAGACATGTCCCCTGCAGAGGCTGGAAGGCTGCCCACTGGCCTTTTCTGGCTTCCCTGGCAACTGGGAGTGGCCCTGTGACACTGTTCTGGCCAATGAGGTGTGAAAGGAGTGTCTGTGGAAGTGTTTGCTTCCTTTCTTTTTTATTTTTAAAAATCATATTTTCACATTTTGTAAAAGAGCAGGAATAACTAAAATAAATGGATATTGTAAATCATGGTCTCATTTCAGAACCCTATTTTGCCACAGACGACCCGTTTGACTTTTGCGTTGGTTTCCTTCAGGAGACAAAATGCGTGTGCTTCTGTCTCCAGGAGGAAGTTCCCTAACGTAGGTTTCCTAAAACCTTGAAACTTTTGCTGAAGAACAAAGAAGGATTTGCTTTGTACAGAACAATATGAGTTTGATGCTCCTTCTGGGAAACGGCACCTGCTGGAGCTGCATCTATTTTTCCAGTTGCAAGTTTCTTTTTTTATTGAAGGATAATTGATGTACAATTTTATATTAGCCTCTGCTTTCTTGATAAAAGGGCCAGGTATACCTGGGGGTGCTTCTCCACCTCTTCTGCTTGAATGTGGGTTCAGTTTGGGTCTGCTGCAGTTGCCCCGTGAAGACGAGGTTCAGAACCAACCACTAAATGCAGCAGAGCCGTGGGACGGAGAGCGTCTGGCTGTCCAGCGACAGCCCCGACCGTGGCTGGAACCCTGGGCGAACCCCAGGACCTGTTCCCACAGCTGGAAGGAGGTGGCTTGGCTTCTCCGGCTACTTGGAGGAGGGATCCTATTACTTGTGGGCAAAAGTGTAACCAATTGAGAGAGAAGAACTGCTTTCCAAGAGACGTTTACCTTCAATTACTTGCCGACAATTTAAAATTTTGGAAACACCGTGCAAACCAAAAAACCCCAAAACCCAAAAGCCAAAAACACAAAAGCACATCCGATTTGGCCTTTGTGTGCTCTGTTTGTCCCGTCTGATGCAGACCTGCACAAAACAGCCTGTGTGTGGTGGCGACACTGGGGCCAAGAGAAGGAACCGAAGCCCCCTGAGTCAGCTGGCCGAGCGGGACTGGAAAGTTCCAGGCCCTGACCTCGTTTCTCGGCGCGAAGAGAATATCCCTCAGAGCATCTGCAGGGGGCGCCCGCGAGCGGGAACCCGCTCAACCACGTGCAGCGGGAGCGTGGCGGATGAAGCGCATGGCTCCGCAGCGGGCGCGGCACGACAGCTGTGGCCCTCCCCGCCCCCTGCCCCACCCGCCGCGTGGCCTGATTCCGCTCAGGCTCTGCCGCGGGGAGAGGGGGCAAGCGCACCTTCTATGACCGTGAGCCTCGCCGAGCACGTGGCCTCCCCGTACGCGTTCACTGCTGCGCAGCGGTACAGGTCCATGTCGTCGCCCGTCAGCTTGTTGATCTGCAGGGGGGCCAAGGGCGGGGGAACAGGGCTAGTCCTCCCCCCTCCTCCGCTCACTGGACGTGACTGGGTTGTAAAGATGAACAAGACACAGCCTTCCCGAACACCTGGATCAGGACAGCGGCGGACGACCGACTCTGCCGCCAGGGGCAGCGCGGGTGGCAGAGGGATCGGCTGCACACAGTGAGGCGGACCAGGGACTGAACACCGCCCCTGTCCTGCACTGTGGGCTGGCTGCCGGAGCTCACCGAACCGTGGTCCCTTTACGTACGCGGTGAGGCTCCTAGTGGCCCCAAGGCAGCGGATGGGCGAGGTCGCAGTGCACAGCCCATGCCGGATGACCGGCCCAGGGCTAGCGCACCGCAGGCGCTTCGGGGCTGGTGTAAATGCTGCCGAGACCGACCAGCGGCGACCGCGCGCTCGCTGCAGCTCAGGCACCGGCTGGGCACTTTGCAGAAACCTTTAGTGCTCGTAAGACCCCATAAAGGAGGTGCTGCCATTACCCCCACTGACAGATGCGCCCACAGGAGAACAGAGACGTGAGTGGCCTTCCAAGGCCGGGACGCTGGGCCTGGCGCTCCAACACAGGCACCCGGCTCCAGAGCTCGAGCGCAGTTCCACGTGTTCCATCAGCTCGCCCGCCCACAGCTGGCTCAGGCAGCCTGGAGTCCACTCAGCCCCAGCTGGGCTCTCTCTTACTCGCCCCTGGGGGCTGGAGACCTTCTAGGGGACAGGAAGGGACAGGCCAAACCCCGTCCAGGGAAGAGACGCAGTTCTTACCTGCAGCACGTGCTCCTTGCTGCCGGGGGTGGACGAGATCTGGTACTTGCTGGAATTACTGAGGTCACCTTTGGAGCACTGCCAGCGCACCTCGGGTCTGGGCTCCCCACAGACCACGGCCCGAAAGATGGCGTTTTTTCCTGTGGAGATTGACGGGTTGGAGGAGGATTGACAATATCTTCCCTGCTGCAGGCACTTCAACTTCCCGTTCCAAGAAGGGGGTCTGGCCTTGGTCCCCGCGACCCCAGGGCTCATCCGATGCAGGGGGGCAGCTGTCTCCAGGCACCCAGAGGTCGGCTCTCACCTGGCTTGCCTGCTCCAAGCCTGGGCTCGCAGAGGGAGCCGCACGCAGGTGGAGTGTCTGGGGGACGGGAGAGGGCTGGGGCGGGAGATGGGGATAAGGGGCCTTACGGACTCTCCCAAGACGGGGAAGGTCGAGCCTTTTGTGGGTCCCACGTCCACTCTCTAGGGGGAACGGCGACCTCGGAAAGGCCTGGCTGTGATGCCCAAAGGGGCTGGTTCTGAGACGCAGGTTCCAGCCTCAAGGGAGAGTCTAAACTCTGTCCTTGGCCTGAATGCCTGGGGCTGCCCCCCTCAAGGACCCCCAGACGCCAGCTGGAAACATCTCAGAAGGGAAGGGCTTGGAGTAAAGACCCAAGGGCCCCCCACCCCTGTGGCAAGTGACACAGTTTCTCGTGACTGTCAGGGGGACTTAGATTTACACACATAGGGGGCCAGTATTTTTTCTCAGGGGAAATCCGTTGCAGGGACCTGTGTGGTGGGAGGAACACCAGCCTGCACCCTCCCGCAGGTCCTGTTCCCAACCCTTCCCTGGGCACCTTGCTCAGGTGGCCTTCTGGAGGGGTTCCAAGCCTGCCTGTGAGCCCCTGGGGCAGGGCGCTCTGGGCGGCCAGGGCAGGGAGCCCCAGTTAGCTCAGTGCTGAAGGTGTCTCTGCGGCAGCTCCCTGGGGGCGGGGGGCAGACACAGCCCACCACCCTCCCTGCTCCCCTTCCTTGCTCCCAAGCGCTTATTCCCGGGTGTGCTGGCACAGGGACCCGCCACCCCCCCACTCCCCTCCGGGTCTCACCCTCCAGGAGAGCCAGGGTGACAGGCTTCTGCTCGAAGCCCGGCAGGCTGCACCCTTCAGGGATGTCCTCCACCAGCTGCCGGATGCTCACCCCCGGCATGGAGGACTTCTTGAGGGGCTTCCCTGGGGGAGGTGGAAGGAAGGGATGTGGGCCCCCACGCGGTGGAGCACGGGCCTCTCGGCCGCGGGGCAGGCTCACTCGGCTCTCCCACTGCCGGGCAGGACTGGCCCCATGGGCAGTGCTTTGGGGTTTTCTAGTGCAGTGTGGCAGTGGTCTTCCCGCAGTGTGAACACAGCGCCTGGGAAGCAGGCAGGGGTGCCCTGGGGAGACCGTGGGAGTGTCATGGGGGGAAGCTGGGGAAAAGGGAGTGAAAATGAGTCCCAGGTGGCAACCAGGACCCCCGTGGGGGGCTCTGCACCCTGAGTTCAGGAAAACAAATGGAAACCCAAAGCCGAAACTCAAGAGCAGAGGGAGAGGTGTGCTCCCAGACTCTGTGGGAGGAACCCCTCCCCTCCTCCCCTGCCTGGTGGGGCACAGTTCAGGGCTGGCAGGGAGAAGGGGGCCCCCCCTCTCACCTGCCATCCTGCTGGCTCGTCTTTGGCTGCTGAGGGGGGTGACGGATCTGCTGAGAACAGAAGACAGAATTGCTGAGGAAGACCCCACCCCTCCCACGTGCTGGGGCCTCCGCCACTCTGGAGTGGGAGCCGGCTGGAGCTGCCGCCCTGGGAGCCGCCTCGCCCGGGCGAACGGTGCCTTGGCGTCCCAGAGTTCCCTGGCCCCGTGAAACCAACCTCCCGAGACCAGGGAGGGGTAGGACGCTGCCCACTTGGCACCTTTTCCGGGCGAAAGAAACTGTAGGGCTGAGCCACGAGCTGTGCTAGGTGGCCTAGCCTCGTGGCGGGACCCCCGGCCCGGTGGTCACTCAGAGGGTGGGACACAGCCTCTCCCCGTGTCAGGAAAGCAAATCCCCAGCGTCAGGATTCTTCTGGCTGTTTAAGCACCTGGCCCCTTGACTTCCCCTGGGACGCCTGGCTCCTCCCCCACCTCCGAGATTCCATAGCAGGACCAGCAGCAGTCTGTCTACCCCAAACCCCCATCCAGTCTGGGACCCAGATCACCAGGTCTGCAGGCAAGAATCCCCGACTTGCTGCTCTTAAGATCTTCTAAGCCCAGGCTGAAGGGATCTCTATAAATCCATCCGCCTGCCTCCGAAGCCAGTGAGTTATAACGTCAGGTGAACAAGCGGCCTTTTCTAACCACCACCACCATCTCCCCCCAGCTTCCTCTCACTGACATCCATTCATCATGGCCAGTGGGCATGCCACCAGGGGAGGGAGGTGGGGGCTTGGCTCTGGGCTAGGATGAGAGCCTTGAGGAGACCGGTGGGTTGAGTGGGGAGGGGATGTCTTGAAAGGACTGCCAGCAGGCCCACCCCCTGTGCGACTGGCCCGCGGCCAAGGGGTTCCACTCTGGGGACGCCACTTCCTGCCCAAGAGCCCTCAATATAGAATCACATGACAAGGCACATTCCTCCCTCCAAGTGACGCTCTTCCATTTCACAACTGCCCACCCACTGGCCCTCTGGCCCCAGGGCGTCCCCTCTGCAGCCCGGCCACCGCCCCCCAGC